TAATTTATGTATATCTTATTGGAAATATTTAGAGCTTATCTCACTAATATCACATTCAGTGTTAACTTGTGATACTGAAGCTGTTGACATGTTTGCATAAATCAATGATTGATCTACTGGCCCTAAATCAAACGATCTAAGACCCAAAATATCTTAGATCCATTATTAAAACTCGATATAGATAATAATTAGGAACTACGATTAGTAACTATGACATAAACTTAACTTCATTTTTAATGACATATATTTTTGGCAAAGAGATTTAACAAACTTATGTTATATTTTATATTAATATTCGAACATTAAAAATAATGTTAAAAAATTATATATATATATTTTTTTTTTTTAATATGTTGGAAAACTCTGTAAAATATGTGAAGAATCAATTTTTACAGTCTATATCACAGGAATCTTACAAGATAGAAAAAACTAATAATAACTCTTGAGTTGTCCGTTTCAAAATCTATACATATTTTAACAATAATAGATGTACAGAAAGCAAATCAGATCTGCGATCACTTATCAATGAGATTATAGCATCATACCAGTATGACTCAAGTCTGCAAGCGTATATTTACACTAGCTTCAGTTATACTAACATAAGCAAAAAAAATAAAGTGAAAACTTCAAATATTCTGAACTCATTGTTATGCGGTTGGATTTTAACGAGAGTTAATAATACTATATTATTATTATTATTAAAGAAAAGCAAAATGATTGGAGATCTATAACATCTATTGTGATATTCTTCGAGAAAGTTTTCTTATCTAAACCGGACATATAGATTAGTGCAATTGATTAACATTACAATATCTTTAGGCTCAAGTTTCCAGACCTCTTTTCATACAACGACAGTCTGATTTAAGTGGCAGTCTTGTTTTCTGACATATGCATGTCAAATAAAGATGTAGATCACAGCTCACTTTAGATTTGATATAAATTGAAAACTAAACATAAAATTCGATTAAGAAAACGCTTTTTTCGGAAAGAAAAAAGAAAAATTTTCTTGTAACATTAATTAAAATTTACATAAATGAAGAATAGTATTTAATTAAAAATCATAAGTTCGTAAATTATAATTACGAATGGTATGATATGACATAAATAAAGTTACAAATCAATTGAACTCGTCTGTGTGTCTTAGCCGTTTCTAAGTACTTTCAATTTACGAAATGACCCAGAATCTAACCAACTATAAATAAGATACGAAAAACAATCATATAAATAATTTATACGACATAAGCCATAGCCATTGTTGCCATACCCAATGTTGAAGAACCATGAATCATTAAAAATTTGTCCCGCACTTGCTGCAATTTATGATTCACACATGCAATTCCCTTGCTCAGACCATAAAAAAACCGCAAAATTTTGCATTTAAATTGGCAGTCTTCTAGTCTCCCGGTTGCTAGTTGTAAAATTAAACTTTAATGAAATGAATACGGTTCTTTGCCCTGCAGTTTTATGTTCTACAAATGCATTGCCTATCTATTAGTTATATGTTTGAACTGCATATATTTCGAGTGCTATTGATTATAGCCATAAAGCTATTATTAAACATATAAGTAAATTTAGGTTTTTTCATGTAGTTTTTATCTATAAATAAACAGAATGTTTACTTATTCGGTAGCTTTATTTGATTTTATTTTACGGTTTCCATGTTATTTTCTACAAAAGCTTGTACTCGTAAATCGTATTTGCATGCAAATAAAAACTCTTGTATAATTTGTCTATGCAAACATAGCTTTTTTGCACTGTCAATTTGTATCTGATGTTCTGTGTCTGCAATTGTAAAATTTTGCCATTGCACTTAGGTTGAAGTTTTACCCTTCAACTCGGAATTATGCTCTGCAATATGTTGTTGAAAGTGCACAGTTTATGCATTTTTAATTGCAATTTCAATTAAATATTTCGAAGTTTTTTCTTTAAGCAACAGTTTGCTTCATGAGTGCAATTACTCTCTGAAAAAATTGCTGTATTTAGCCAAGCGTAATAAAAATGAATTAATTTTTAATAATTAATCAAAATATTGCATTTATTTTTAATTTATAATTTTTTTACAATTATACTAAATTCGAAATAAATAAAAAGTGTATATATTTTAAATTTTTGAATAAAAATTTTAGGTTTTATTTTATTTTTAGTTTTATTTTATTTTAAGTTTTATTCTATTTCAAATTTTATTTTAAGTTTTATGATTATTTTGTATTTTAAGTTTTTACATTAAATTTATTCTATTGTAAATATTCTTAAATGCAACTTTACCTTTAATACATTAATTTTAAATACATTAATTTATTGCTATACAAATATTAATAGATATATATTATAACTTCAGTTATGTAATATAATTATTATAATTATATTATATATAATGTATATAATGTAGTATAATTAATATAAGAAATAGCGTTCTTATAATTCAACATTAACGTAATACAGGGTGTACGTTTTCAAGTGAGCACCACATAAAACTAAGATCATGTGCTGGCAACCTTTTTCACTTCCTGGCTAAGACAAATAAATGGAAATCGCATGTACTCTATTGAATCCCAAATGGCGATACCAAATGGAAATTTACTGCTATAAATAGAAAAACAAATCACTACTCAGAATTATTGAATGTATATATTAGAACCGTTGCTGATCCGAGCTAAACTTAAGTGGGGTAATTGTATAAATTTCGAGACATCGAACCCAATTTTATTTTACTCGTCTGAGCAACACATGAGTAGAAAGATTCATTTTTATCTTTTGATAAAACCTTTAATGGTTTTGCATGCAAAATAGTATAATTATAAAAATTGGCTTAAAAAGATCAATGCCAATAGGATTAAAATGAGTGTGAGCAAGAAATTTATTCTTCTCTAATAACTATGAGTGATTTTCAATCTTAGTCTTTACTTTTTTTTTATTTGATGGAAATAGTGAACAATAACTTTTTTAAAACAATAACAGAACTATTTAGCATAACAAAGATATATAAATTTGTGTGTAAACAAAGCTTAAGTGCATATATTTTAAATAAATTATATAAAACCAATGATTGAATATTTATGTGGGTTTGAAATATTTTATATGTAAGTTAATAAGTGGTATTCATGAGCCATACAGTCTGTATATATCTCTGTAATCTGATCATACTAAGGTTGTGCAATTTGAAATTGCTACTGTTGCTCTCGCCGAGGTATTGGTACATTTACTCAGCACCTTGCACTACATATATGCAATATTTAACTAAGCAATTTAATTATCATTAATAAAAAGCAATATCCATTTACAATTTAAGCATTAAATGATTTCCTAATGAGTCACAATTATCCATGTTGATTTGGTTTAATTGTAACAAATGCGGGCTTGCCATACTTCAGTTTTAATCAATGTAACAAGATTTGCTTCCCTTTCACTTTGTTCAATAATTTTTAATTAACTTTAATTATGCATGTAATAGTTTATTTTTAGTGCAAGCACTTAAGATTTTTGTCTTATGTGGTAAGTCAATTGAAAATATTTGGTAAATTAAAATGAAGCAGTTTTAAAACTACATTAAGACTATGTAATCAGAAATTTGCAGTAGCTGTCGATAGGAAGAAACATATACGTTAAGTACGTAAAATCAGATGGAAATATTGCAAATGACATTTCTGCTACAAATCTGCTACAAATTCCAAGCAATTAAAAAATTTGATGATGGTGATAAATGATTTGACAGACAGTAAGATGATCACTAGTATCTTAGGAAAACACTACCGACAAATTAGTCTGAGTGAGTTGGATTTGCCATTAGTCTAATCTATTCAATCGAACCCAAAATGCACTCACATATATTTGTTTACAATAAAAATTTCAATTAATTGAACTGCATTTATGT